ACGCAAAACTCGGGTAGCCTCAAGTGCAACCTTCCTGTAACCCCAAGGCACATTCTCTTCATGCCACAGAGGCCCTTTTTCACTGATGGAAGTCTCCTCGATCAGGTATATCTTACACAGGGTGCATTTAGTTCCTTCGTCTTGCCCCAGTCTCGGAAAAAAATACAGAATGATTTGTGTAGTGATCTGGGTAACAACAAAACCCACAACTGACTGTGCCCACTATTTCATTCTCATTCTCCTTCTCTTAATAAATTTATTCTCCATAATTTTTTTACAGGTTGTCTATCCCCTCCAAGATAGAGGGATGGGAGTGCAGTCTTATGATGAAAGTGTTATGGAGAGTCTCGAACTTGTTGATCTACTTCCACTTGTTGACCGGGTTGGGGGTCTCAGAACCCCTGTCAGCTGGAACTGGTATTTTTTTCCTTAAGAGTCCTGAAAATCATTATTAACATTGTTGTCAAATTACTTAGGATTACCCTGTGCTTGGATCATAATTTCCTACTGTTGAATTGCACTCCTTTGTTGATTTTGATATTTACTTACCATATTTGCCTGGATTATGAGGCATTTAGGATTAAATGGAGTAATGCAGAGTTTGAAAGAAATATGCCCTTTGGTAGTGTGGCTAGTCGCATCTTCTGATTTCATTGGGAGTTATTAGATGCATTACAACATGTGGAAAAATTTTAATGTTTCAGCCAGATCAGTGCATGAATTTAATGGCATGAGTTGAACAGCCATTATGCACTCTTGCACTTGGCATTGACTCCTCTAAAATTTGATTGAAAGGAGGGACTTGGAGTTATCAAGGAAATGCCACCAGATGGAGCTGGATACTTATTCACATTCAATTAGCAAATGGGCTAAAACCACCAATGTTCAAACAGTTAAGCCAGGATAGAATTGGAATTCGATTGTCACACCTTAATGGTAAAACCCAGACACTTTTTTTTTTCTGGCAGCACAATATGAGTCAATAGGATGAAATTCAAACACATTATAGTTAGGACACACCAGAAGTAAGGATGTGTCTCCCACGATGTCAGTGGACGCAACTGGACACATCTCAGTTAATAAGAATGAATTCTTGACATGGCTTGCAGTCAAGAAAAATTGGCAAAAGAGATGGAGTCTTAAGCAGTAGGCATTCTTTGCAATGATGGGGATGTCTGTTGATGGATAAATTCATGCGGAAATAAAAGTATTTGATGAAGATGGATGACTTAGGCATAAAAGAAAAACCTTTTTTTTTCCAGATGAAGTTCCAACTGTTGAAAAAGAATAGTTTAATAAATTAGAATGCAGAGAACGTGAAAAATAATTTTTCTGTGTTCTACTTTTCCCCATGGAACCATGTCACTGTGCAAACCTTCAATTCCATAAGGAAGCCTCATTTTAAATGGTCACTCAAAAAATTTAAGGAATTTAAGCAGAAGTTTTTTTTAATACTGTTATATTTTCCATCTGTAAAAAAATAAGCAGGCGATATCATGGAAATGAATGTCTGTAATGGAAAAGCAAGAAATTGTATGTTCTTTTATCAATGAGACTGCATTATTTGAAAAGGAAATGAGGCTCCTGATGTAATCATCAAGGTGTGTGCCAGGAAGCACTAAGCATTTTTTGGAATACTGCTGCTTCAATCCTCAATTTTTTTATCATCACCAAAATTCAATTTCTTCCATTTGTAAATATACTCTCCTGTAACATGGGTATTATGAGTTTGAAAATCGCATGCTCTCCCAAAGGAGCAGGATGGAGCACTTGGTTGCTCCACCTTACCATTCTCTCTCACTATCAGGCTTTCTTACTTCTTATCCCATGTATTCTACCTATTTCTCTAATTATAATGGCACATCAAAGGAGACTAGATGCTGGACTAGTACCAATATGTTTTTTCGAGATTGCCCAATCTTCTTTTTCTTCCCTAGAAAAATAAGAGCACATTTTTAATTTGATGATAAAAAATTAACTTATATTTATTAGAAGAATTCATGATGAGTTCAATCATCGAATATTTAAATGGAAAAGCCTACTTAATAGTTTCAGTAACAGTGATCACCTTTATTAAACTTGCATCATGTACAGTGTATTTCCTCATTGAGCTGTATTTATTGCACTCTAAACTTTACAGTGCTAAGAGCACTGTTTTCAATCGTGATCCACAGGTATGGAGTGGTATTTTGCATTAGAAAAGTCAGGTGATTGGTGTCTGAGCCATGCCAAGTTATACTTGCCTCTACTTTTCAGGTAGAACCAATTATATTCTAAATGGCAGAAACCCCTCCAGAATGCAAATAGGACGATAGCAGAATTTGCCCAAATCACTTATCTGGGTAATATTAAATGACAATGTCACTCTCAAGTACTACTGGATTATCCTCATCCAACTTTTAATGGAAGATTTTGCTGTTGGTATTTGAGTGAATCTTGAACTTTCAGTTGGTTACCTGAAATGCCAACAGAAAGAATTGCTTAGTCCCCCCTCTCCCATGGTGCTGTCACGAATGCTAAATTACAGAGGTTCCTTTGTCTATTCTCAAGTACCCATTCACTTCATAACCTTCATCTTGTAATCCTTGTGAAGAGAACACTGTTGTTACAGCAATTGTAAATGTATTTAACAGCGATGTGCAATGCTGCAGCAGCATTGCACATCTCTGCACGAAAACATAAGCAGTCGACATTTTAGAAACCCGCTGGAGTCATTTCCTACCGTGCTGTGATTTTTGCCCTTCTGCCATGATTCTCATGCTAGGTATGAGGTGCTGACACCGGGTGAGATGCAGCGACTGTGCTTCGTCCGCCTATTCTACCATCGTCCGCAGCTGGGTCTTCTCGACGAAGTCACCAGTGCCATCTCGGAGGACCTGGAAGCCGTGCTGTTCCGCCGCTGCCGGGAACTGGGTATCACCCTGGTCACCGTCGGGCATCGGCGCAGTCTGAGGGCGCACCACGATCTCATCCTTGCACTCGATGGACGGGGGGGCTGGACCTTGGAATCCCTTCGATCCTGATTATAAGCCTCTTTCTTAGGTCCTCTTTAACCATCGTGACATTCCCAAAGAAAAAAGAGTAGAGTGCCCTTGTGCTTCTTCCTTGGAAAAGAAAATATTGTGCATGTTGAAAACCCATGGGAATTTTCCTCATGGAAGTCCATAGGATAAAAGAAAGGAATTATATTCTGTCAGCAATGCAGCTGTCCCATCAAAGTGTCACCCATCGAAGTCCCCATGGACTTCGATGGGAAACCTCCATGAGTTTCCCCAATGAAGCAAGTGCAGAGACAGACCATCTTCAGCAATCAGGAGTTCTGCCACATTTGTCTTTCGCTGCCATGGTGATCGTGTAAAACTCCCACCAGATCTTCTCAATGTGATGGTCACATCTGGCTCAAGTATTCCTTGTAGTCTTCCTAGTTGATGCCGTAGGAGTGGTTCTTCAGATGCATTTATTCACTCTGAATGGACGAAACGAATTATGTGACTGCTACTTTCCTTTGCACTCATGTTCGAGTCCAAGTTCCTCAGGGAACCCCTCATATTTGTGTTTCCTTCTTTTTTTTCCTTTGCCCAGTGCCATTCTCCAGTGCTCTCTTTCTGTCTGTTAACCTTCTCATTCAGACTTATGATCTGATGCATGCAATACGGTAGTATTTTTGTAGTCGATTTTTTTACTGATGCGAATGCGATGTTTGAATCTGGAGTTCCCAACATATGACATATCTCAACTTGGGGCTCCCTAATGGACACTTCTCAGCATAGCCCCTTACGGCCATCTGCGTCTTTACTTTCTCGAACACTGTTTACCTCCCAACTGAATGTATAGTATAAAGTAGCTTATTTATGGCATATGGACTCGCATTTCCCCAATATTTTCCCTTGAAGGGTGTCTCCATGACTGAATTGCCAAGGGTCTCTTCAGAATTCCGAAGCACGACAAAACGAAGAGAGCTTAGACCTAGAATTAAAGAAAGAAGACGACAAAATTCGAATCGGCAAAATGTCGAATGACAATTTTTTAATGGAATGCCCGGGTCTTCATCTGGAATCTAAAGGAGGAATTCAAAACAGCAGAACATACGAAATACTTGGGAGAAAGCCCAGGACATCTGTTTGCACGGTCGTTACGAATCGTCTGAATCCCTTTCCGTCGGGCCCATGAAGTCTCGCCCTACCTAATCTGTTCCTGGAAAAATTCCAAGAAGGCCCACAAATTTGAACGATCCGACGGCAGGAGTGATGCGAACCTGCGATTCCGTCCTTCCACCGAATCGTTCGTTCGATGATCGTTTCTCGAAGCTTCAAGGGCGTTTTAGGCAACGAGGGCGTCCTGAATGGGCGGGGCCAAGGCAACAATAAGCTCATGAATAAAGAGAAATCCTCGTCTTTGTTTCTATTAGAGGGAATTGGATTCTCCTCCGGACGGATTGCGAGAGGTGGAATTTCCACATTCGTTGGAAGCGGACTTCGACATCGAAAGGGGAGAAATGGTCGTGGGGAGCAGTCTAGGTAGTTTAGGTCCGAGATGGTAGATTCTAATGTTTTCTGTCTTTTTCTACCGTGTGTTACGTTCCACGTTTTGTCTCCTTCGACGGCTCGTGTCATTTGCCGTCGCGTTATGTTCTTCGTTTTCGTTCTTTCGGGGTTTCGCTTTAGACCCGAAAATTCATCCTTGGAGATGTTTCGTCACCGGTTCCCGTGATTGCTTCCATGCCCGAGGTCAAGGGGGAGTCGAGACGGAATAAAATCGTTTGAAAAGATGTAAGAAAAACCAAGAAATAACAGGGAACACATCGCGAGCGCATTGCAATAATATCTTTGGAATCCCAGGACACAGCAGAAGCAGGGAAACGTGTACCCAGACGAGATGAACTGCCTCTGAGATAGCCTCCATAGAGATTAAATAATTTTGGGGGGAAGGTTACCCTTGAAAAATAGCTTCAGAGAAACTTAGACGAACGGTATATCAAGCACTGAAGTATTTAAAAAAAAATCCCATTTTCCTCAACCTTAATCGCACGTGCCAAGAATCATCGGTGGGCTCATAAACCGATGCTTGGCATGCCGACCGTGACCTCATATCTCGAATTCGATTATATTTCGACAATTTTCTCCGGTTGTCTTTTGGGAAACGTTCGTGCGTGTGATCGGTCGGTAATCTGAATTCTCCAGCAGGTGTTTCATTTCCCAGAAAGAAAACTTTGCCGGGAAGTGTTCGATCGGAACGTGCAACTTCATTCGTGACGGAGTCGAGGGAGACGAAAAATGCCAGCGTGAAGTCGTGACCGAGGATCGGCGAAAATGCATTCAGTGAAAGCAAGTGAGACCTGTAATAAAGGACGCGGCTCGGGAACGAAGCGACGGCGTGACCTCCCTCCATCGATGAGGCTCCGGGAGGTCAACCTCTGCCCTCCTCCGACGAATCGTTCGACGATTCCTCCGACGAATGCTTTGCTTTCCTTCCGCCCTTCGGCGGCGAAGAAGTCGTACCGACATTCCCAGTCGCATCGAGGAGGGACAAGGTGCGTCCCCCTCGCTGGCGCCCGTGATAAGCCGGTTCCTCCCCGGTCCCAGGGTCTTTATCTCCATACGCCCAAATCACCTCCACCGGCTTATTCTGAAATCGTACACATCAAGTAGGCTCTCATACGTAGTCCATCTTGTACATCTTGTCTTTCTTGTCCATATTGCTTCGTTCAAGTTCATCCATCGTTGTGCATCTAATCTTCTCGACTAGAAACTTTTACCTCTGTTATTCTTTCCTCAATCGACTTCACTTTTGATCCGATTGGTCCAATTTATTATTATTATTTTGTGTTGACTCGTAAAAGGAAGAGGGTCGGTGAAATAAGGATTTTTCTTCACCCTGCCGACGCTCAATTTTGTTCACTGATATCTTACAGGAAATATGATGAACATTCTTGTCTTTTCATCGTGTTCTCACAAAGTGAGAGAAACGTGAAAGAAAGAGACGGTATTTAGATCTACGACGCGTCGTAAACCCACGGTAACTACATGCTCGCGAACCGCGAGAAAATCGATGGGCAATATCGAGTGAAAGAATGCGAATGCTTCAATTATCAGCGAGCCGAGTGGAACGAGAAGCGAAAGCTGGGAGTCCATCGCTGAAAGCCACGCAGAATTCCCGAAATTTCCTCACGTGGCACTTCACGATGGGTCTGCGTTTTCAGATCGGGTAACCCTTCGGATTCCGACTTTCGGTTCGCGGCGAAATCGCGCGTCGGTGAGGAACGCGTTACCGTGATCTGATAATCCTGCGACGCATCCGTGGTGTCGATCTTGCGAGAGAAACGAAGCCAGGTGTGGGTCCCGTTCTCCGCCCCGCTGATCAATTGGTAATTCTGCTGCTTGTCCACGACAGGAAGGGTGTTCGAAGCGGAGTAACGATCCTGTCGGAAAAGAATAAAAAGTCATGGGGCACGGCGAAACAAAGGATGTATTTCCGGCGCTCCAATTGTTCTCCTTCCCGGAATAGGAAGGAAAAACGGACAGGATGCGACGTTCGTGATCCATTCAGGTACTGGGATGCTCATCGATGAATCGAGGAGCTTCCCGGAAAAGGGGCGTAAGTACCCATACGCCCTTTTTTCCGCTTTCCTGTTCGTGCATTGCTTTTGGCTACATGCGACGGCACGGACAAACAATAAAGGTATTCCAAGTGTGCCTGCATCAAGGGACAAACGATCCGGTTCGACCAGATTCTATTCTGTGAAACCCGAGGAGATTTTCCGACTCATCTCAAATCCTATCTTTCGTACTCCAATATCTTTTCCGGAGAACGACTCCGCGAATAATTTTCTTATTTTTATTTTTAAATCGTCATTCTTCCAGTCTATCGATCGACTATAGGAAGAGGAATGACGTCACCTGAAATGGAGAGTATCGAGAATATTGTATCCAATATCCAACTCGGACACTACCGCCGAAGAATTCCACGATGCCACGAAGGAGAGGGTAACTTGGGGGAATATGGCCCTTCACGAAGGATCCCCTAACAGACCGAATAATTAGTTTGAGCGAATTTTAAAAATAGTTCTAACGAAGAGTACATGCAATATTGTCGAAATGTCTACACTCGTAGAAAAAGGGGAGCGATTTTTCTCATAAAAGAGAGTAAAATAGCTAACTCCAGTTTCACCCCCCTTTCACTTTGGGATAGGAACAAATTTACTCCATCACGAAGAAGGAGAATTGAGCTCCTCCATCGTGAATAAAAACAGTCATAAAACATCCGAAAGTGATAGGGATGTCGTGCAAATAAAAAAATTCCTTATATACAGCGTGTCGCTAAATTTCTCGCACATGCGGTGACCTACCCCTGACATCACAAGTCAGAGAGTGGATCACCTCTTATGGGTTCCGTGGAGCAAACCGGGAATTCAGTCCTTATCACCTCATTTACGGAGGTACAAGGGAGTAGAAATTCACGGACCCTCTTTATACATTCTAGATATAATATCCGAATAAAAGCACCTGAGTTCCAAGGGGGTTCTCAATAGGAATATGAGCTGGATTGTGGCATGGACTCGATGAACAAGTCTTGAATATGTGGATAACAAATGATGAAATGTCCATGTTTATTGATTCCTATAATGAGACTAGGCGCGACGTATGTCGAGGTACTAAACAATCCTGCGAGGGACGATTGCAGGGAAAAAGGGAAGGGAACTTTAGCGTCCTGTGCTAAAAGCGAGACCCATACCTCCACCTATTGGCCTGGCAAAGAACTTCAAGGTGTTCACTTGCTGTTTAGTACTTCGCACTGTTTAGTTTAGTACTTCGCACGTATGTCTCGCCTAGTCTCATCATAGGAATAAGTAAACACGGACACTTCATCATTTGTTATCCACATATTCAAAAAATATTAATGGAGTCCAGGCCATAAACAAGCTCATATTCCTATTTAGAACCCTTTTGGAACACATAGGACTTAATCCACATAGGAGTTCTAGAACATCCAGAGGGTCCGTGAACATCATTCAATCACACCTCAATTAAATGAGGTGATAAGGGACTGATATCTCGGACATTCTACGGAACCAATTAGGAGTATTCCACCCTCTGACGTGTACTGTATTCAACAGATGTAGGTCAACGCCTGAACGATAACGAAACCATACAGTATATGAGGACTTTTGTATTTGCATGACATCCCTATCACTTTTTGATGGGAGCGATTTTACTCACACAGGAGGAGAGCAGTTGTACTCCCTGGTAGTAGAGTAAATTCGCTCCTTTCCCGGAGTGAAACTGGAGTTAGCTATTTTGCTCTCCTTTTTGAGAAAAATCGCTCCCCTTTTTCGAAGAGTGTACGCCGAAAGTCTCACTATCAAGAGCAATACTTCTCGAATCCAAAAACATTGCAATCCTGCTTTCCACAAGAAGCTCCTCGAGTCAGGAAAATGATGTCGACTTCTTGCTCTTCCTCCGTACAGTTAATGTGTTTATTTTTCAACTGCCGAGTCTCCGTCGTGCTTCAAGGTCCTCAGCCCGTTCGAGCATATTTCTCACGTACCTCATGAATCTCGAGTTGTTTTTTGAGAAGTGGCCGTGTTCCCACAACAATAGGGGTTATATGGCCTCTTGGGACCGATTTGGACATGATACAAAGACGCAATATCCTTGTGTGCTTGCATGTGCCTTGCTGGGAATTAGTAAAGGAGATATCGATCAATATTTTACAAACATTGTAAAAGTCAAATTCGACCTTGATGGTCGTAAAGATCGGATTTCATTTTTGAGATCCACATTCTCCCCCAAAATTAACCAATCCGTACGGAAGGGGAGATGCTTCATCACAGGATCTTCGTTCGAAAAATCAAACGAAAGATGAAATCCAGCGTGGGAAAATATGATAATGCAGATTCATGAGGTACAACTATGCAATCGGGTCGAATCGGCCGACAAACAATTGCAGCATGCTCCATTGCGCTCTCGCTCGTCGATTAGCCTGGAAGTCGTACAAAATAGGCACATGCCAGTAGAGCTACAAGAGAGGAGAAGGGAGACTCACGTTAAAATATGGAGATCCGTTCCTGACTCCTCCGATGACTATGTCGGCCCCATTCATTTCGCCGTTGGGGGAGAAACCCATTCCGATCCATCCCGTGCTTGGAGCAACGAAGAAGAACTCGATGTCCCCGTCCCCGACCCTGGGGGTCCACTGCAGCCAGACTCGTCCGTTCATTCCCAATGCCTCCGTTCTGGCCCATTTGGTATCGGTCTGGTTCGTCGCTCCCCGGCCGACCCCGAATAGGAAGGCTGCCGTCACGATAAACTCGAGCGAGAACCCTGCCATCTCTTCGACTGAGGATACGGGAGATTGGGCATGGTCTTTCAATGCAAAGGGACACGCCCTACACTGAAAAAAAGGTGCGAGAAGGGTGCGTGGAGGGTGTGCCTGCGGTTGTAGGAAAAAACGCCACCCGGAAATAAGACTCCCATTATTGGCATAGGTGGAAAATTGCCATCCCGTTATATTCACCTCAGATTAAATACACATTCATTTTTGTGACATTTATGGATTGATGTCATGTCATTCGATTCACTTCTTATGAAAAAAAAAAAAACAAATCCCACATCAGCACATTTCTTAAAAGTGGATACTATGGCCTATTCCACACAGAAAATGCTGCAGATTTATCTCTCCTAGGCTATAACGTTGGCAATGGATCTGGAGACGTTCCTGAAGTTGCAAATATACTCTCTTCCTCTTCTTCTTTGGGGGATCTCCAGCATCGGTTTTTGCAACCAACGTGATCTTGGTTGCGAGGATAGACTGCAGGACATCTATCAGCTTCCATACTCTAGGGTGGCTATGTCCAATAAGTGTCTGCAATCGCAGGTTCCATGCCTCAGAATGATTATTAGTTCTACTCTTTCCATGAAAAGTAGCTTCGTGTTGGTTCCATGTTTCGGGTGGGAACAACGCTGGGGTCCGTCGAAGGCGCACCCGCAAACCTCCTGGTTGTGGAATCCGGCGTACGTTCCCACTGACGTAAGTTGCGTCAAAATATGACACCAAGTCCTCCGCTTCTGGAGGTTCCTCTTCTGGAGGTGCCGCTTCTGGAGGTGCCGCTTCTGGAGGTGCCTCTTCTGGAGGTGCCTCTTTTGGAGGTGCCTCTTCTGGAGGTGCCGCCTCTGTAGATGCCGCTTCTGGAGGTGCCTCTTCTCTGAGGTGACGCATCCCTTCTTCTACTTCGGCTTCTGGAAGGAATGCCAGCCCGTCCAATTGCCTCCACGAAATGCCGGAGGTCTTCATTCTCGCGGTACAATCTGACGAGCCCCAGTTCCTGCACCTTTCTCCATACCGATTGGGTCAAATGGAAATAGCAACCTCTGATCCTTACGTGATCGCCAAGCACCTGTCGTACTGCTTGAATAGCGCTGATTTCAAAATCCATCATGACCTCGTCCGGATCTGGGTATAATTCAAGATTAGCACAATGACTGACAATATTATCCAGGAATGATCGATAATCTTCTTGACACTACCATGTGAGAAGTGCAATTAACACAGATGGTAACGTCTTCTCTCCCAATGGGACGTGGATGACATGAAGTTGCTTGAAACCCTTCGGTGCTGATTCAAATGTACCGTCCACGTACCATAACTTGGACTTTGCCAGAAGATCCAGTGCCATCTTGGAGGAAATGATGATGATCCTTGAGTCTTGGTTTCCTCTATTATCGTCCATTAGAAACCTTTCTTCGCCATCCCCTGTGGAAGCCCATACACCGTCAATAACCAAGTCATCCAAATCTTCCTGTTGCGGCGGGTACTTCATACCTCGAAGATGTCGGAGAGAACGCTTCACTGAATCCTCACTTCCAATGGAAACTTTTGCTTCTTCTCCAAGGCTACGTACTCTTACGTAAACTACTCCTGGTTTGTCATGGGAACTGATGACTCTCTGTTTCATCGATTCGCGACATTTAGCGACATTCACTGCTGCTTTATCTGCTGCATGGTTATGGTCAACCGATGATAAGACTCTGCTCATGGTAGGATTTGTCGTTACACTACCGTTACAAGGTAACATTTTTCTCCTCACACGTGTCCAACGAATTTTTTCAACTCCAACGGCCTTCTGCTTCACATACATGAACTGATCAACTGATTGATCAACTTGACTGCTCCCTTGTTGGTCTTTATGATCTCCATTTCTAATGCAAAAATAGTACAATACTTAATGTAATAATGCCTTCAATTTTCCTGGAATGTATCTACTATAAAAGACTATAGAGGATTAATGATTTTATTTTATCAGAATGACTGCCTGACATAATACGGGTAGCAGTAAATGGAAAGAAGAATTCGTTTAAAGCAACTGATTGACGAAGAAAAAACTTGAAACTTAGCTTTGTTCCCATAGACTCGAATAAAAAAAAAAACCTCAGTGATTTGACACAAGCCTGATTCTACACTACACAAGGAGTGGTTTCAGGTATTAAAAATTATGCATATTTTTTGCAACCATATTATATTCTCCCTAAGAACCAATTTATTTATCAATTTATTTAGTTCTATTGTTTAAGTTTTAAATGTCACACATTTTCCTTTTTTCATGAAAATTTTACATACCTGGGACTTTTGCCTGCTCTTTTGGGACCAAATATGTATCTGAGTCCACCGGAGTTGAACTTATTCTTTTAATATACGAATGAAGCTGCATAAGTATATCTTCACGGGTACATTATTCACAAAATCAACTGAGAAAAGGACTTACCCAAAGGGCCATCCGTTGATTGTGGCCGTGCCGCAGGATCAGACGATTGTACTCCTTGAACACTTTTAACTATCAATATAATCATGGAAGTAATGGTTTTGAGAAAAATTACGACGCTGGTTCGAAAAGTTTCGTAACGGAGATGAGACTCTCGAAGAACAGGAAGGTAGAGGTCGGAAAGAGTCTCTTGACGACGCCGTTCAGAAGACTATGGTGGAACGTGATCCCCATGTAACGG